GTCCACATACCAGACTGAATGAACTTGTCCAAAGGATGGCAGGTATAAGCAGCTAGACATAGTCAGATGACAAACGTGGTGCAAAGAAATATTATGTAGACAGCGACCTTCCAAGAACAAGTCAGAATACACCAGACATACGAGTTGACAAACCCAAACAGTGAGCATAATAAGTGATAGATCATTGGAAACAGGAATTCCATGGAACAAATAGACAGGAACAAGAACCACGAAAGGAGGCAGTGCAAGCCATATAACATAGCAGGTAACAAACTGGACAAAGTACTCGATTTGGATCTGAATGGGAGTACAGGTGTAAATGAAAGGTAAGGAAATAGGAGAAAAGGCTACACTATTTTCCCGGGCAGCTTATATCTTGGTTAGGAAGGCCCGATCTGGATTGAGGAAAACATACACGGAATAGTAAAGGATGTGGGAAAATTAATGGCATAAATATCAGAATGATGACAACCACATGACAGGAAGGGGAGGAAACAGGTCTTAAAGGAAAGATGGTACAATGAACACATTGCAATGGGTTCAAAGGAAAAACTGCACAGTGCATGAAGGACAACACTGAGATCCCAATCTGGCAGAACAAAAAGAAGTGCAGACGGACCAGATCAAAGGAACTGAAAAGGAAGGAAACAACCGGGGAGGAGAAGGCTTTCTGGAAGCAGAAGAATTGAAGGTGGTTGGCAGGGCAGCCCTATAACAAGCAACAGTTGAAACAGACAAACCCAGATCCAAGAACAAGGTGAAGAACTGGGACAGGTAAGGAACAGAAGGATAGGATGGTTGGAAGTCAGGATAAATGGACCAAAATCTGAAGTAAGACAAATTCTGGTGGTGCATAGACAAGGAGGAAGGGCAAGGAAAGATGCTACGCAGTTGAAGTAAGGGATAAGATAAAAGCCATACATAAAGATGGAGTATGGTGACATTGGGATGAAAAACATACAATCATTGTGTTGTCAGAGGAGCAATTGGGACAGGGGTAAGGGCAAGGGGCTGTTGCTCCAGTAAGAGCTGTAGCAGAGGGAATTATGCCTGAGCCAGCCAATACAGAGCAACTAGCAGAACACGATAAGGAGTGCTTTGGATAAGGGAAATGACTCTGATCAGAGGGTAGGCATATAGATGAAGACCCCTCCAATCTTAACTGAAAGCATCCACCCCCAGAGCTGAGGTGTGAGGAACTGCAGACCAAAAAAAGGACATTTGGCATTCCACTGAGTGGCAAATTCATATATATGAGGTGTTCCCAGTTAAGAACATACCCACAGAAATACCTAAGAATGAAGGGATCACTGCATGGGGAGAACCTGGTTGGGAGTGGATAAACAACTGGCCAAAAGATGCATAATTCTGAGAACATGACACACCAGAACTATCATGTTCTAGTTGTTGGCCTAGTACAGGTGATCCAAGAACTGAAAACACAGAAATCTGAACTTGGTTCCCCTTTGCCTGGTGATATAGCTGATGACAGTGGAATTGTCAGAATGAATCATAATCACCCACCCCTACAAGAGTGGGAAGAAATGATACAGAGCCCAATGAATAGCTAAGACTCAGGACGAGGCGAAGGAATGGGAACCCCCAATGTGGTCAAGTCCCTGTCAAGCCACCAAGCAAGGTCAGCCCTGATCCCAAGTAGAAGGGTGATGGGTTGGTTCAAGGAATTGTGGGAGAAGTTCCACTGGTTGAGAAGCATCCACTGATGGGAACACAAGGAAGCCCACATCCCAAAATAGATAAAACCTATTGTGCAGAGAGAAGAAGAAAGTAGGGCCTGTATGACTGCCCACTCCATATCCTGGAGCCAAAGTGGAGAAGGCTGGGCACGACTGATATGGGAAATGAAGAGAACACCCAAATGAATAAGATACTGCGTGGGGGTAGTAAAGGACTTCTCCAGCCACCTGAGCAGCTTCTCGAAGAAGGAAGCAGCTGTGAGTGACTGACTGGGCATGGAAAGAGGCAAGCAGGAGCCAGTCATCTATGGAATGGTGAGTTCGAAAATCCAGCAAGTGAAGATGACGTGCAAAAGAGCATACCCCTCAACAAAACACATACAGAGTTGAAGAAAGACCAAATGGCAGCAACTAGAACTGGAAGACAGAACCCTCAAGGATGAACAGAAGAAAATGAAGTGACACAAGGGCAATTGGAATATGAAGGTGGGTATCTCTCACATCAAACTTCATCATCCAAAGTTCCGGGGAAGAGAACCCACCAAAGTGAGAGATAGGACTCCATGTTGAAGCCAGTGTCTCCAGATATGTATACATCAAGGATACATCTGCAATGGGTCTCCAATCTTCCATGTTTTAGGGTACAACATATAGACAGGAGTAAAGTCCTGGATGAGTTGGAACTACCCATTAAATAGCTCCTTTGTGTAGAAGGACTCGAACAGACTCAGCACAATGACTGGATGAGGTATGATTGCAAGAAGGAAGGAAGGAGATTGTGGATAGATGGGAGGAGCAGAACTGAAGACAGAAACCTTCAAATAGAACCCACGGAATTGTGGTGAAATGTAACCAAAAAGACACATAAGCTAAACATACTTAGACAAAGTACTCATTACTAACAAAACTTAGAAATCTGTATCCCACAAGGTATATAAAAAATAACAAACTTGCAAAACTATGAAATTTGACCTAAAACATAAAACAATAATCAACACCCAAAGTACAAAACCACTAAAAGAACTTGGAAGATAAAAGACCCTTAAATATCAAACATGCAAGTCCACCCATAGAACCTATAAGACAAAGGACATGAAAGTAAAACCTACCCTGAAGAACATGAGAATTAAAAGGTACCCAGTTAACAATACAAATTTTTGACAACAAATCTAATCCCCAATTAGATGTCACTGGTAGTAACGAAAAAGTAACTTAGAAACTAAATAACATAAATGGTGAAAAGAAGTAAAATTACAAACCAACACATCCACAAAATTAGCCGAAGTTACAAGTACCCAAACAGTAACGATTGTGTAAAACCCGTACATATACCAAAAATTAAACAAAAACAAAGTAATAATCAAACACTAAATGCAAGTTTAAACTAAAGTAGCTTAGATGGTAAATGAATTATAAAAAAAACTAACTTACCAAATACTGAGCAGAGAAGACATGAAAGACCTAAATTATTAAGTGTGGAAATTAAGTTCATCCACAGAAGCTCACTAAACGTGGGTATACCTACTGGGAGTGAGGAATACACGCAGAAAAACATACCATAGATCTACTGGGTAAAAGAACAATACCAAACTCAGCAGATTACATTATGGAGGCATGGTAACAGGTGGAAAGTGTCAGAGAAAGAAATTTCCATTCAGTAGTTATATCCTTCCTCACAAAAATCATAACATGAAATGAAGAAGTTGTCGGCTGAACGTAAGACACGAACTCCCAGTGAACTAAAGCCTGCACATCCTCAGCATACATCATCCACCCCGAAATCTGAGGGCTCGTATCAGAACCACTGTCTACTATCACGGAAATATCATCATCATCATATAAACAAATTCAGAAAACAGAAATATTTCTAAAACAAATGAGTAGAAACAGTGGAAATCAAACACAACAAGTCAAAACTTGAAGTTGAAGTTACTATAAATTTATGATCAAGCACAATCAAAATTGTTTATTCAAATGAGGAATGAGTTAAAACACATCTATACACTAAAAGGCCAATCGAGAAAGTGAGGATTGTGCTATAATAGTAGAGGGTAACCTAGCCTGTTCTAGTATAGGTGGTGCAATATGATTGGTGGAGGGTAGTCACAAGATGTGTACATGTTCTGAAATGGTACAAAAATAAAAAAAGTATAAAATATTTATGCACTATTAGTGAAAAATTTTTTAGCAATGCTTAGAGGGCAAATCAAGGTCGAGATAGCTTTGGGTGAGAGAAGTAGTAAGGTTTTGGAAGTAGAGTTCTTATTCATTCAGCTGCTTAGTTCATCATTCCTGACTTCTTACTTACCAAGTCCATTAAGACCACCCCTTCATAACTGTGTGCTGTTTGCTACACTGTTACTAACCAAGCCCATTAAGATGTACCACACCTTTATATACAAGTAATAAGAAACATTTTTAAAAAATAAGGATGAAGTAGGGATGGCAATGCCAAAAAGTACAGAAACCAGGTAGGGATGAATACATAAAATCATACAAAAATCATTATACAAGTAGCCAAATCTTTCCAAGAAAAACTTTTATCTACAACTAAATGTTGAATTCCTTTTACTTGCATGAATTCAGGTTTGAATAAAAGCATTTAAACTGAATAAAGCAATAACGTCTTAAAATGGCTAATCCCGACAAGCTTGTAACATTGACTCAATAGTTACTTGCGTAGAAATTTTTGTATGGTTTTGTGTATTCATCCCTACCATTGTTTCTGTACTTTTAGGCAATGTCATCCCTACATCATACTTATTTTTTTCACAATTTTGTTTTTATTATTTGTTTCCCCTCTTTTTTTTTTAAACAATGCCAATGAATATTTTATAATGAATGGCAGTTGCTACAAAGGCAGCAGTTTTAGCCTGGCGTGATGAGTTGTCTTGATGGACATCACATGTTGAAGTTAGTGTAACACTAGACTGCTTCTGTACTCCCAAAGTTAAAACACAACATTTTGGAGTTTGAATCATCGTAACAACTTCAAGCATTGGTAAGCTAGCCTTTCTGATGCCAGAATCAGAATAATCAGTAGAACATATGGCTGTTACACTACTCGCCAGTTCTCTACTTTAGCAATGTTTTTTTGGCTAAACCGAAGATCTTAATAGCTTCTGAGAGCCTCAAAAACTTAAGTAAGATGTTTATAAAAAACATCTCATAGATTAAGAGATTTGAGACTATGATGAGCAATACGTAATATGCATCGACCATTTTTTCCCCAGCACATTCCTACATACTATGCACTACCATGCTTAGTGACACCTGCTGTTTTACTTCATCATTGTTACTTACCAAGTCCATTAAGACCACACCTCCATAACTATGTGCTACAACAGCTATGTGCCTGGCTGCAGATTTTTGGATGACTTCTTTCCAAACATACTTTGCATGCTTCTCTGGGCTTTCACTACCCTAAAAAAAATAATAGTCAGATATAAAACACTTCAAGAATTAATTTTGCTTATAAACTCCCTTTTTAAAATAGTTAAAGAGTAAGAGGGAAATGAAAGTAATATTTTTAAGCTATGTTTGTGCCTTGATCAATAACATTTATCAATATTACTGCACAAAAACTGAAATTTTAAGAAAGGGCTCTATTATAATATTGTCATGTAACTGCTTCTGTAAACAACAGGGTTTTTGTATAAAATTTTAACTGAATTTTCGATTTGTATAATTTCTAAAGAACGGGTTGCACTTGCCAATTTTTGTTTGAAAGAAAATATCACAATATACAAACATCACATCTAAATACATTTTTGTAAAGAAGTCTTAATCCAAACCAAAAAAGTCATAAACAAATCTCTATTATATCAAATTATTTTCTACAAAAAATATACCGAAGAACATTTTTTATATTATTCATAATATTTACAAAGACAAAAATGGGGAAAAAAACCACCTTAAACAGAAAAGAAACCTTTGAATTTTTAAATGATTCAATATAAATTTACCCTGATGAATACTTTCTTCCCATCGACAATTCTTGTGTTGTCATTAGTATTCAAAACAACCACTCCATATCCCAAACCGTGAGCCCGTTTTATGAAAGGAAGTTGTGTGCCACTATTGATGCCATCATTGATGATAAGCCTGTGTTAAAAGAACAGAGAACAATTTTATGCTTTAGAGCAGTGGTTTCCAAATGTTTTTCACTGACAACACCCTAACCCACTTACCTTGATTTTCATGAAATCCCTGCTGACACTTGCAGTATTTTTTTTTTAATGTTCGTAATTATTTTTTGTTTGCTGAAACTCTCGTGTCACCCCTAGCAACTTGCCGACACACAGTTTAAAATTCACTGCATTAGAGTTTAACATTTTAAACGACTTTACAATACTTTTATATATCCCTAAAACTTATTTTGAAACCAAGGAATCTTATCACACCAAAATATTTGACTCCTTTTTATATTCAGGGTTTAGATTATCATTGCTAAATTCTTATTCTAACAATCAAATCTCCTCTTTGTACAATAATGACTTGGTAATCATTAAATATGACCAACCAAATAATTTATCATGGGCAAAATGTTGCAGTTTTCCTATACAATAAAGCAACTTGTGTCTTTCCATAACGAAAACTTTCCAACTTCTGATCACCATAAAACTTTAGGGGAATCTTCGGTATGCTCCAGAAAATTCTAAAAACTCTTTATTTATTCTTTCTCATTTTCATAATTTTGACAGACACTTTAACTTTCTTCCTTGCTACTGCTAACAAATGATGTACACGCACACACACATCATCATCCTCATCAAACCACCAAAGTAAAAGTTAGGCTTAACACAGGTATCTTTGCTAATAGGCCTAAAAACTCTGTTAACCTGATTGTATGTACTCACCATCTTTCAATACAAGATAACAATAAAAACAGTCACACTATTGTAGATTTCAGTAAGTTATTCAAAAATTTACAGCTAATTTGAGGCTTTTTAAGTCTCAAATTACCAATCTGTTTTTATAGCATTCATTACCAGTGGAATCCACATATTGCATCATATCAGATAATTTTATGTTTTTGTCTGTTATAATGCTAAGTGTGAAGAAATTACCCAATAACATTTGTGAAATCACCCATTTTCTATGTAAAATACATCAGAAACCTAGGCAGTAATTAATGAGATTAATTACAATATTGACTGTAATTTTGTTTATATCCTTTTTCTGTGACTCGTATGTTATTACAGACCATCCATCAACCCACAAGAACAACAATGATGAAAAAAAACAACTAATTTAAAGATATGCATTTAAAACATCAATGGTAATCCTAAGGTTAATGCAATAGCTTATCTGATGTGTTTTCAGGGGAAATGAAACCTTAGAATTTTTTTAAATGTGGTCTTGCTCAAGAATTTTACAGAACATTGAAGACTTTAAAAATAGTTCCTTTCATTATCACACATACATACGATAGAAATGTGTACATGATTAAAATGGAAAAATCATTTAAAAAATACATATTTAAACGTATATCACATGTTATTATTTACTTTCTTGCCCATTGTCCAGCTCGTACAACTCCACTTCCATGGATAAAGACTACTAATCGGTCAGAGTTGGTCAGTGCATCCTCACTCAGAAAGATAAAAGTGTATATTATAATTATAATGTATCAGGTTACAAAATATAGTTGAATTGTATGTTTTCCAAAATATTTCATAATATTTAGGTTGATGCAACTGCTACTGAACCACGGTTTTTCTTTAAAAAAAAAGTGTGTGGTGGCTATTACCATATACAAGTTACAGTTTTTTTTGTCTTTATTGTGATGTATCCTGTATATAAAGAATATTGTGTGATTTCGTAGGTTACTGTTATCATACACTAGTTTTATTAACATCATATACCTAAGAGAACAATAGTCTTGTTTATGGAACCTACAAAAAACAAGTTATGAAACAAACAACGTTTGCTTGGGAAACCAGTTATGAAACTAACAACGGTTGCTTGGGAAACCAGTTATGAAACTAACAACGGTTACTTGGGAAACCAGTTATGAAACTAACAACGGTTACTTGGGAAACCAATTATGAAACTAACAACGGTTACTTGGGAAACCAGTTATGAAACTAACAACTGTTGTTTAGGAAATCAGTTATAAAACTAACAATGGTTGCTTGGTAAACCAGTTATGAAACTAACAACGATTACTTGGGAAACCAGTTATGAAACTAACAATGGTTGCTTGGGAAACCAGTTATGAAACTTACAATGGTTGCTTGGGAAACCAGTT